CCGCCCTCCGGCCTCCCACCCCGGGCCCACATCGTCAGGACGACTTTCTGCAGCAGAAAGAGCTACAAATGTGGGCGGTAACAGCCGGACACTGACCAGGACGAACCCTGGTGAGTTTTCTCTTAAAGCCCAGCCAGGTGCCTGCCGCCTGCCCTGAGCCTGAGCCGTGGGACGGGGGCAGAGATGGGGGCAGCCTCCCCGCCCCCTTGAGCCTCAGGAAAGGCCGGGGCTGCGCTGTGGGCCCTGCTGCTGCGCAGGCCTGACTGTCCCCATCCCTGAACGCTGAACAGAAGAGCGGCCACAGGGGCCCCATAGGCATCGCTTCTCCCTGGGGCACCAGGTAACCCAGAGCACGCAGCACGGGCCCTCGAGGCCGAAGCGCATGCCATCTTGCCTGTCTCACAGGGGCCAGGATTCAACTTACTTTCTCGCGTGGGACCTTCTGGCCGCAGCCCCCGCAAGTCACAGGGAACTTGGGGCAGACCTCGTGGTGCGCCTGAGAGAGAAGTGGTCGAGCGTTAGGGGGACACCAGGCTGTCGATGCCGGGCCAGGCCTGCGCCGGTCACGCTGCGCTTGGTGTCTGTCCTCAGCTCCGGGGGCCCGCAGTGCCCCATGACCCGACCGAGATGGCACGGACACTGTGGGCCTGCGGGCACCGCGGGTCCCAGCGATATCAGCACCTCCTCTCATCGGGCGGCTCTGCCTTCACGCCCAGCACGTTCCCCACGGACACCCCCGCCCAGGCCCCACCGCGGGCACCGCGGGCCGGCACGCAGCACCTGCACGTCGGCCAAGCAGCAGGCAGCGTGGCAGTGCTGGCAGCTGAGGCTCCTCTGTGGGCACTCCTGCTCCACGTGGCGCTCCTTCTCGCCGAGGCGGACCAGGCCTTTGCACGCCGGGCACTCGGTCAGCAGGAACGGGCAGAGTCCTTCGTGGCAGCTCTGGCAACAGAGGGAGCAAAGCGTCCAGAGAGCGCACGCAGGGCCCTGGCAGCCAGGCCCACCCGGCCGGCCAATGCCACCCCAGCTGTGGCTCCCGCTCCAGTCGACCCCACAGTGCCTGCCCCCAAGGGCCACCGCCCAGGTGCCGAGAATTGAAATCCCTCCGACACCTTTGCTCCGGGTCAGAGGTCAGGACCAATTCCCACTGGTGGCACCCACCCACCCCACGACGCCAAGAACGACCCTCCCTGCCCCTGACCACAGGGCACAGAGGCTCTGCTCCAAGTGACGTTCAGGGGCCCCGGGAGCCCTGGCCAGGGAGAGGGGCGCACGGGCAGCGAGGGAGACACCAGAGGGGGCAGCCACGGCCGGCGACACAGGGACAAAGCCGGCTGGGTGCCAGGCGGCCAGGACAGAAGGCAAGCGAGTGACCAGAACCAATGGCTGTGAGAAGGGCCACGGGGGGCAGAGCGAGGAGACACTGGGAGCCGCAGCCCCACCTCCCGGAGCTGGCGGCGCAGCGTGATGGGCAGGAGGCGCCAGGCGTGTCCTCGGGAGGCAGGTCCCAGGCTGGGACTCTCCGGGTGACAGGTGAGGAGAGGCCGGGGGGGCGACCCAGGAGGAGCCAGAGCAGCGGGAGAAGGACAGGGAGGGAGAGGGCGGGGCTCAGACCTGGGGAGTCAGGAACGGAGGGGACCCAAGTGAGCCCCACCTCAGGTGGCTGCTCTGCTGGGAAGGAG